AATAATAATAATAATAATAATAATAATAATAATAATAATAATAATAAGTTAAAAAGCTGGTCATGGTGACTCACATTTGCACTAAGGAGGGAGAGGTAGGTAGATCATGAGTTCGGAACTAGCCTGAGCTACACAATGAATTCCAGGCCAGCCAGGGCTACAGAGTGAGAATAGCTCAAGAAAACAAAACATCAGGAAGGAATCAGCTGCGGTCTGAAGTGTGTGGAGCGAGGAAAGTGATCTCTAAGGGAAGCGGGGACGTGGGATTCACCTACCCTTCCACGTCGACATTCTCTTCCTTGGGACCAGGCTCCCCAACAAGTGGCACAGTTACTGAGTGGTAGGTGATGACCGGCCCAGGGCACTTCCGCTTCTTGTGAACCTGCTTCTTCTTGTCAGCCTCAAGCCTTTCATAGGTCTCTTCAGGGTCAGAGGGGGAAATGATAGAACAGTCAGTTTTCCTTTGCCCACACTCTAGCTCTGGCCCATGATCTATTTAAGTTACATTTATGTATTTATGAGTGTGTGTGTGTCTGTGTGTATACATGCACATACACATGCATAGAAATGAGAGGACAACTTGCTGGAGTCAATTCTCTACTGACTTATCACGTGGATTCCAGGGATCAAACTCAGGACATATTTGTTGGCAAGCAACTGCTAGCTACCACAGATCTCACTGGGCCCAGTCCTATGATTTTGTTTGTTTTCATTTTTTCTTTTGTTTGGTTTTTCGAGTTTCTCTGTGCAGCCCTAGATGTCCTGAAACTTGCTTTGTAGACCAGGTTGGCCTTGAACTCACAGAGATCCACTTGCCTCTACCTCCTGAGTGCTGGGATGAAAGGTAAACCCCATCCAGCTGAGCCTGCATTCTTAAAGAGCAACAAAGAGCTAATCTAAGTGACTCTTTGCACATTCCTCCCCATGGCTGGTCCAATGGCTGGCTACACTGTGCTACTTGCCGAGATCCTGTGGCACACTGCGTCAGTTCACTGCTGGTACAGATGCCGCATCAGTCAGTGCAGGGGTAGTGACTAACATTAACTACTCATTATCAGGGCCATGCAAATGCTGGCATCACAGGGATTTACTACACAACTGTTAGTAAATGAACTGACCACAGTATCTCTGGTCCCTTCCCTCTACATGAACTACAAATCTATGCTATTCCTCCACACGGGCACTGTGGACACTGTCCTCTGAGGCCTGGCCAGATACTCTCTCTTTCACACATTTCCCCTGGAGGCAAGGCTCATATAATCCAGGCTGACCTTGAACACCTGATTCTGTCTCTACCTCTCATATACTGAGATCACCAATGTTTACTACTATGTCTGGCCTGTATTTGACTGGGTGATATTGCTTTCTCTCAAAAAAAGAACAAAAAAAAAAAATTGTTATTTTACAGCAAGAGACCTCCATCTAGTTTTCTCTACAGGCCACCACCCTCCCAGACAAAGGTTTCTCTGTGTAGCCCTGGCTGTCCTGAGCTGGGAGATCTGCCTGTGTCTGCCTTCTGAGCACTGGGACTAAAGGTATGCGCCACCACGCTTGGCTACTGCAGGCACTCTTAATGGCCTGGTTTTCTGCTCTGTCTGCATGCTCTTCTTTCTTCCTTTGTGTGTCTGTTTCCCCCCCTGCCCTCAGTTTTTGAGACAGCTCTTATACACAGCCCTGGCCAGACAGGAACTGGTTAAGCAGACTAGGCTGGCTTTCAGCTCCCCGGTGCTGGAACTATCCAATACAAATCTGTAGTTATTCTGCCCAGATCTCCATTTCTCCACTTCTCAGGTCCTCTAGGTTTCAGTTTGTCCCACACATTTCAGTGTCTCCACCTACTTTCCCCAAACCAGACTGACCCAGTGAACGCAAGTTGAGCTCCTCAGTGATCTTGGCCTCCCTGAGCAGCTCTTCCTGGGTTAATGGTCGCTCACAGTGGGGACCCTTTCGCCTCCGGGACTGTCCTTGCCTCTCTTGAACCCGAAGGAACGTTTGTCGAGTGTGCTCAGCTGTGGACTGACGCATGGACTTCCGACCTGCAGAAAGTGAGATGGGGAAAAAGCCTCTGAATGAATTTCTACTTTGTTTCTGTCTTTTTAATAGCTCTGACTGTCCTGGAATTCACTCTGTAGACCAGTCTGACCTTCAACTCAGGAGATCCATCTGTCTCTGCCTCTGGCACATCTGGCACATTTCTAGTTTCCTTCTCTTTTCTTTTTTCCTGGGGGGGAGGGGAGGAGTGAAGTAGGGAGGTTGAGACAAGGTTTCTCTGTGTAGTTCTGGTTATCCTGGAACTTGTTCTATAGGACCAGGCCAAGCTTAAACTCTGTTTCGTGAGAGCTAGAATTAAAGGCCTGCACCACTATCACCAGGGTGGTTTCTTTATCTATGATCCCAGCAAAGGCAGGTGGATCTCTGTGAGTTTCAGGCCAGCCTACAAAGTGAGTTCAGGACAGCCAAGGCTACATTGAGAAACCCTGTCTTGAACTCCCACACACACACAAAAATATTTTTTTTTAAACCATTTAAGCTAAAAACAAAAACAAAAAAACAATGCAAGACTATAGAGATGGCTTAGGGGTTAAGAGCACTGGCTACTCTTCCAGAGAACCCAAGTTCAATTCCCAGCAACCACATGGCAGCTCACAACTGTCTAGAACTCCAATTCCAGAGACTGTAACCCCCTCACACAGACATTCATTCAGGCAAAACACCAATACATATGAAATAAAAAATAATTTTTTAAATTAGTAAGAAT